AATCCCAGTCTGTCCCACTCTTCAATGACTAGACCCCCATTAGAATGACACATTACCAGCTTAATGAGACAATGGCAACATATGAAATCTACATTCCATTGATCCTCACTGCATATTCGATAAACTGTAGCTTAGAACATGGCTATATAGCAGGAGAAAGTCCAAAAAGGACATGATAGTTTTGAAAGAATGTATAGAACTCTGTTTGAAATGACCATGACAAATCCTACCACCCTATCTTAGGACACAACACTCTGCAAAACCGGAGTAATTAGCAAGGCTAGAGCCTCATTAGTTCCTTCTTTTAGATCAGGGTGGGGAAACTCAGGCATGGCGGCCCGATACGGCTCTTAGCTTGTCTGTATCTGGCCCCCGAGGCTCAGGGATCCCCCTAGTATTGGGGAAGCCCATGCTGGTGCTCCAGTCCCTCTGCCACTCCACCAGGGGGCTGGAGCACACAATCTACTATCCCTACTAGCCTGGGCACCCCTAGGCTCTGAGGGGAATGTGAGGAGTGTCTTTCTTCTCAATTGCCAGTGATCTTCCCCCCCCCCCCCCTTTTTGGCCCCCCCCCGCTTTTTTTTTTTGGGGCCAGCAGCCCCCAACCCCAAAAAGGTTCCCTACCCCTGTTTTAGATTATTTCATTCTGGAGCTATTAACTCACCCCTGGCCATAACAGTTGCATAAAGCAGCTCAAAGGGACATTATTTACCCTATACTAAAATGTCTCCTGAATGCATATTTGTCTGTCGGGTTATAAAACCAATAGCTTTTTAAAGTGCATGTGTTTGAATAATCATTTATGGATGCACATGAAAACCCATTCATTATTCCTGTATTATTTTGCCTCTGGGAATATTACTGAAATATGAAAGCACCCACTGAGAGACTTATCACTTCTTGGAAAGGGATTAGCCTTGGCAAGTGCTGTCAGACAATATTCTACCCCCCACAGATAAAGGCTTCCATCCTTAAAATTGATTTCACGACAAATGTAGACAAGAAGTCAAGTTAAATAATTTAATAGTAGTTGAATCTAAGGAGTTGATAGCTCCAGGGGGTTTATGGCAAAAGTCACTTTTTGTTTCTTAGCTAAGACTACCTCCATATGCCATTCCGTTGTGCTACCGATTTGTGATAGAGGCCAGCAAATCTCTAATTACAATTAGAGAGCAAGAAGCCAAAACAAAAGGGGAAAAGTTCTCCGTGTATTGAATCTCTTGGTGGTTGTGAGGACCCCTACCAGTTCAAAATGGTGGTTTATCCTTGTCCAAGCTAGTGAATTATTAATGTATGAAAGAAATACATTTTGTCCATAGAGACTTAATTCTATGTGAGAAACTACGTCCATGCAATTTGTCATATAATGGAAATAAAGCTGTAGGCTTTGATGCAGTTGGTGAGCATACGATGGTCCTTGGTACTTAGCATGTTCATGCCACCATGTACAACACTCCTCCTGCATACTGTGCCTATTGTAGTCTGAGAATTCACATTGCCAATCGCTAAGGAGAGGTGACAGTAAAGCACTGTGCCCCATTGCATTTCTCTGGTAAGAAGGAGCTGGACGAAGTGCTCCGTTTCATGGGGAGGAGGCATGGCGCACAGCATGCTCCCACCAGCTCCTAGAGCAATCCTGCAGGCCAGTTCTGGCAGCCCCAGGCTGTGCTAAGCAGCAGGCCGGTTAAAGGGGCTGGCAGGGAGGGGGAGCATGCTATAGGTAGTGTGCACCCTCCCAGCCCGGCCCCTGGTGGTATGTCTGTGCCCCAGCCTGTGTTGCTCCTCTTTTACTTTGCTGCCTGGACATCAGTGCAAGGGACCCATCTGCCAGCCAGGTATCCCAGCTGTGACTGGGACTGCCCTAGACCAGCCCCAAGACCCCCATGAACCCTCCCCCCCCTCCCTACACACCAGGGTTCCCTCTAAGATTTCTCATTCATGAGCAGAGTGTTTTGTCTTGTGCACCGATATTGAGGTCACGTGTGCTTGTTGGGATGGGTGCCACCATGGCACCCACAAGCGGTGCTGCTCCCCGAAAGCCTCTCCCAGCACAGAGACCCCAGTCCGGCCCCTCCCTTGCTGGGATCCTGAGCCTCCTCCCAGGCAGCATCCCCCACTCGTGAGGAGGTGAGACTTGCTCGCCCACCCAAGAGAATGCTGCTTCCAGGGCTGCCTGCGTGCAGGGCAGGGGCTACTCTAGGCTACTCCGCAGAGGGCTGGCTGAGAGTCCCTGCTTAGGGCAGAGGAAAGCTGCTGCCAACCCACAGGGTTTGCAGGGAGTAAGGGATTGGGCAGAGACATGAGGAGATAGAGGGTGGGCGGAGCTGGCAGGGGACTGAAGGGGGCTCTAAGAGGGAGAGGGCAGTGAGGGGGAAGACGGGTGCCAAGGGCCCTACCCTCCTGAGCAGCTGCACTGCAGCCCTGGTTTCCGCTCCAGCAGCTGCCTGCAACATGGCCTGCCCCAGGAGCAGCTGGGCAGCCACCGTGTATCCGTGGCCACAGCCCCAGCCCTGGGGAGTCAGGGACAGCAGAGAGCTGCCGGGCTGAGCCCACACTCCTCCACCAAGCCCACAATCACCAGCTAACCTTGCACTGGCACACAGCTTTATTTTCCAAAAGATCCACGTCTAGATTGGCGCTTTTTTCTGGCAAAGCTCCGAGCCGGAAAAAAGCGGCAGCCATTTTTATGCAAATGAAGCAGGGGCGATTTAAATCCCCCGCTTCATTTGCAATTGCGATGTGTCTGAATTGCATCTTTTACGGAAAAGGGATGCAGTCTAGACACAGCCTAAGATTATAGCTCAGTTCTCAAACTGTGGGCAGAGACCCCAAAGTGGGTCACGATGAGCCCAGTTTAACAGGGTCACCAAATCGGGTGTTGTACTTGGTGGGGTTCAGAGACCAAGCCTCACCACCTGGGGCCGAAGCCAAAGCCTGAGGTTACATGCTCCCCACTCTGAGCGGAAGCCTGTGGGCTTCCACTCCTACCCCCCCCCCCTCCCCCCCCCCCTCCCCCGCCCCCCC